ACACACACAAAAGAGCAGTTCCAGAAAGCCACGAACTCTACGTGGTAATCTGAGAGATGAGATTAGAAATATAGTATGTTAGTTATGATGTTTAAGATTAGGCTCAGAGGCTAGGAAACCTATGTGTCCCCACAGAGACAGAAAGCAGACGGCTGAAAATCAACTTTTCTTTGTATTCGGTCAGACTGAATGTATTAAATTGGCATATTTAAGGGCACACCCCAGAAATCGAAGGATTTACAGAGGACTTCCCAAAAATGTAACTAACATTTAGTTAGTTTCTAGAGACCATTTATTAGCATGAGTCTTTCTTTTGTTTCTTTTGTGTTTTTGTGTGTCTTTGTTTTGTGTTTGTATGTGTGTGTGTAAAGATGGTGATAAAACATTTGCAAGTTTGTCTCTGTACATGACTCCACCTGACAGAAGAGAATAGGAGCGGGAATGTTACTTGGATTTTACCCTTCAGCATGTTTTGGTTTCATTTCAAATTTGATCGTAGTTTTTGTTTGTTTGTTTGTTTGTTTGTTTGTTTGTTTGTTTGTTTGTTTGTTTGTTTGTTTGTTTGTTTGTTTGTTTGTTTGTAGTGATTTAAATGTGAACATGCACAAGGATAGCACTTAATGGAAATACAAATTTGGGTATTTTTAGAATTAAGTTCTTCAATAAATTGCTGAATAACATTTTGTCCCATTGGCAGGTCAGCTGGTTAAAGGGATTCATTTTGGATTAGTCTGACAATAATGATTAGATGCTTTTCAGGAATTGTTTCTTAGCTTTGTTGATCATCTTGTGCTTTCCACATGTACAAGGGTTAACAGAGCCAGGTGTTTATGTAGATTCTTAAAAAGAATAAGATTGCTTTTCTCACTCTTATAGCAAATCAGCTTCAGTTATCGCTGCTTCATTTGACATGAAATAAGAAGAAAACTGGCCTCACACAGCCATAAAACTGCTTGTCAGGCAAGTCCAGTTAATTTAGAGCCACTGTGTATGTAACTAGCTTCAGTTCCTGAGTAGTGAATGAAAACATTTTGTCAAACCATTCGGATTATAGTTGAAAGTCTGCACTTCAGTCACATATTGACTAACTGCAAATCCACCGTGTGGGTGTACAGGGGCAAAACTACAAAAACTGTCTGTGTCAAACAAATCGCAGACCCAACTCTATCAGCCCTTGATCTTTCACCTCGAATGCTAAGTACTTCTATAGCCGACTCTTACTTTGACTCTTTTCTTATCAACAGGTCAGAGCAGAGCTTCCATGACAGCTACATTAGCTTTTTGGGTGCTTGTTATTCTTAAGGATGAACTGGAACATTTGTGGGCATGCGGTTCCAGAAGAACTGCAGCCTTGGCAAATAAATTACCTACAGTACTATTCATCCGTCTATTTTCACCCATTTATCGAATTCATGGTTATTCATGGTCGCAGGAAGGCTGGAGTCAGTCCAATCGGCCATAAGGTGAGAGTGGGGACATGGACACAGGGAGAACATGCAAACTCCACACAGAAAGGTTCAGGCAGATTGTGGATTCGAAACCTGAGGCTCAGCAAGGCGAGTTAACCTTCCTGTTTTCTCCCCAGAAACCCTCGGTTTCTCTTCAGCACAGGCTGACAAAAAGTCTGAGCTGAGTTGAGTGAAACATTCCATTTGACCTTAACTAGTAAATATTTCATTTATTTATTACCAATTAAAATTTAACCATCAGAGAAAAAATTACTCATAACCATCTCACAGACATACCATTATGTACAACTACCTTCAATTTTTCCATACCACGGGCCTTCAAGCTGGCAGTAGTTCAACAGTTACTTAAAAAGCCATCACTTGACCCAGCTGTCTTAGCTAATTATAGGCCAATCTCCAACCTTTCTGTCATCTCAACAATCCTTGAAAGAGTAGTTGTCAAACAGCTAACTGATCATCTGCAGAGGAATGGTTTATTTGAAGAGTTTCAGTCAGGTTTCAGAGCTCATCACAGCACAGCTTTAGTGAAGGTTACAAATGATCTTCTAATGGCCTCTGACAGTGGACTCATCTCTGTGCTTGTCCTGCTAGACCTCAGTGCAGCGTTCGATACTGTTGACCACATATTTTATCACAGCGTGCTGTAAGTATTAAAGCTACTGCACTGCAGTGGATTGAATCCTATCTAACAGACTCCAATTTGTTTGTGCAAATGGAGAGTCCTCTTCACACATGAAGTTTAATTATGGAGTTCTACAGGGTTCAGTGCTAGGACTGATTCTGTTTAGGCATAGCATACATTTTCACTGTTGTAAAGATGACCCACTGCATATGTCCATGAAGCCAGATAACACTCAGCAATTAGTTCAACTGCAGGGATGTTTTAAAGACACAAAGACCTGGATGGCCGCTAACTTTCTAACTTTCTGCTTCTAAATTCAAGTATAATTGAGGTTATTGTACTCGGCCCTGAAAATCTTAGAAACATGGTATCTAACCAGATTCTTACTCTGGATGGCATAACCTTCGCCTCCAGTAACACTGTGAGGAAAACTGGGAGTCGTTCTTGACAAGGATATGTCCTTAAATATGCATATTAAACAAATATGTAGAACTGCTTTTTTCCATTTGTGTAACATCTCTAAAATTAAAAACATCCTGTCTCAGAGTGATACTGAAAAACCAGTTCATGCATTTATTACTTCTAGACTGGACTCCTGTAATTCATCATCCTAAAAACTCCCTGAAAAGCCTTCAGTTGATCTAAAATCCTGCAGCAAGAGTCCTGACAGGGACTAGAAAGAGAGAGCAGATTTCTCCTATATTGTCTTCTCTTCATTGACTCCCTTACTTAAAGTTAAGGGACAAGACTCTCCTTTTTGATAAAGCATATAGTTAGAGCTGGATTAGGTGATCCTGAATCCTCCCATAGTTAAGCTGCAATAGACTTAGGCTGCTGGGAGCTTCCAATGTTGCACTGAGTGTTTCTCATTTTCTCACCCCTTTTCACTCACCGTGTGTTTATACATTTAACTGTTAGTTATTACTCACTGGCTCTCTTCGACAGCACGTATTTTGTCTCCCTCACCTCACCCCCTCCCTGACTTGACTCGGCTGGAGGTTTCTTCCGGTTGAAGGGGATTTTTTTCCTTCCCACTGTCACCAAAGTGCTCCTCTGTATTATTGTAATAATAAGTTCTGAGGCGACTGCTGTTGTGATTTGGCGCTATAAAAAGGAAACTGAATTGAACTGTACCTTGTTTAGCCGTGGTTGTCATTTTCTATCTTTCTACTCCCTTTCTGTCTTTCTGTTTGCCCTCACAGCCCAGGTGCTCACAGGCGGCTGCCCCTCCTCCCCTGCTTGTGCTAAGTGTCTCTTTGATACGAAGTATTTCCTTCCCACTGCTGCCCTGTGCAGCCTTTGGGGATCATTGCACCACTGTCCTTTCACTAATTTATAAGTCCTTTATAAATTAGTCCTTTTGGCTGCATCTGCCTCATGCTGTCCTGACCAAACGACTAGCAAATTAGAACTTTTTTAAATCTCAAAGAAATGACACAGGCATGTATGTGGTAAGGAAATGACAGTGTGGTCCTGCAATGCATGAGGGTCATGGAAGGACGATCTACTGTTAACTATGCAAACTCCACTAACTGTGTTTTGACTTTGGTGAGTTTTGTGTGTGGTTCTATAGCCAAAGCACATTTGGGATTTTTTTGTTTGTTTGTTTGTTTTTTGTGTATATGCCTGTTATCGGTGAAGCAAGCAAGAACCTGCCAACAAACTGTCCTTACACCCCCCCTGTCCCCGCCCCCGACACAAACTCACGCACACAGAGTCCCACTTAAGACAGCATTCCACAGCCTCCACATACAAACACACAACTCCTCTGTTACCTCACATTCCCGCGGCACAGCAGCCACACTGCATTTCATCCTGAAGTTGACAAAGCAACAAAAAACAGCAGAGCAATCCTATTTTCCTTTCTTTGACCGTTTCTCTCTTCTCCCACACGGCTTCCTCTTGCTGTCTCTCTTTCTGCCCGTCTATCTCTCGCTCCAAACATCTGCTTCTTTCCTTCCTCTCTTCCACCGTCAGTCTGGCCTTCCCTCCCCCATTCCTTCTTTCCTGTCTTGGCATGTCAAACTATTATTGAGAAATAGTTGTGCGTACACGGGTGATTTGTACCAGCAGAAAAAAATACCCCACCAGCCAGCTGAACATCTAGATGAAGCTGGAAAGTGTGTCTTGCAGGGCAGTGATGTTTACAACGTGTGCACAGCCCCAAAGCAAAAGGAAAAGGCTCTATATTTGAGTCATCTGCCATAAAGCTGTGAATTACTCCTCTTGCAGTAATGTGTTAAACTGTATATTATTTCATTTTAGTGAGGAGCCGTAGTGTTCGATGTGCCAAATATGTTTTTTGGAGTAAACGCCGAGTTCTCTTATATTTGACATGGAACCGGCTGTGCTTATCACTAAACACTAAAGATTAAAGAATCTGAAAAGAAGGATGCTTAAAAAAAAGGATACTGCGTAAAAAGGAACTCTCCACTGATTTTATGCACTGAGATCAATTAACCCTGTGAAAACAGGAGCATGATGTTTTTAGTGTTTCTGGGAGACCTCTGTTAAGCCTCACAGTCATCCGTGTCATGTAAATTACATTTTTGGGAAGTCCTCAGTAAATCTTTTGATTTCTGGGGTGTGCCCTTAAATATGCCAATTTAATAATCTATTCAGTCTGAGTACAACAAAAGGTGGATTTCCAAGCAGCCCCGGCTGCTTTCTAGAGCAGGCTTCTGCTTTAGCAAGTGAAGAATGTCTGCCTTCAGGCTATGACTAACAACAGAAACAACAGCAGTGATTTCGTAGCCTGGAGAACAGGACAGGCTCACACAGGTGTGGCCAGATATTGCTTAACCTGATGACAGATGATCTTGGTAGGAACTTTTAAATAGCTGGCAGACTATTCATAACAGATAGCTGGTTGGCTGAAAACAGCTCCTCTTTGTACACAACAGTGAGAAACCGAGGTTGCAAGAATCTGAAAGTCAGAAGTCACGTGGAGTGTGTTACTACTGAAGAGATTTAACTGAACTAAAGTTCATACCAGTAGTGTTTTTGATGTTTGTGTTTTAAAAAAAAATCAGGTAAATTCTTAATTCTGTCTATAGAAGAGAGTAAGTTGTAAGTGTGACTTAGTCTATGATATGTTAAGAATATACAGTAGAGGAATGTGTGTGTGTACACACTGCATTTCATCACTCAAGACATCGCAGTCATGGAGTAAATTGGAATATCATCTTAAAAAACTGAAATTTAAGAAAAAAGAAAAACTCTCCCCAGAAATGCCACAGAAACATCAACCAAAAGTATTTGGTTTAAAATACTAATAATAACTGGAAATTTATGCAATCCCTTTCATCCATGTGCACAGCAGGATTTACCAAAAATGATATCTCGACTTCTATTTTGACTGTTTGAAGGCGGTGAACTTTTCTGAGAAGCAACAGATATAGTAAAGGAGTGCAAGTACAAATGGTTACAGCGCCGTGCTGATGTCACAGCTTAATCACTCACATATGTTATGGAAGACTCTGCACCCAGCAGCACAGTCAAAACATTCAGTAATTCATAGCTTGTTGACTGTCCTCTAACTGCACTCTACTGTAAAGTGAAACCAAGGGTAGACATGCAGGTATATATTAACTCAACATAAAAAAAGCACTTTCTTCTCCAACCGAGAAAATAAAGTTAATCAGTAAGTGCAAAAACCTGTGCCAATCGAGGCAACCATCTCCATCAATCGTTAAAATACCCAACTTCAGAGAAAAGACTAATATGTTTATGGCTGTTTCATGATCCATCCATCCATTTGCTTTTGAAAGTGCTTTGGTATTGGGAGACAGGAAGAAAGGTTCAGAAATGAGTTCTTCCAGTGTAATGTTCAAGTCACTTGACTAAAGTCAAGTTTTTCTTCAACAGAACAATGGTCCAAACACAGCTCCAACCAACACGACAAGTATTTAAAGAAGGTGTACTCAGACAGACCACAATGACTCGATCTTAAGCCCAGTCCTGGCATGGCTGTGGTGCTCTGGTTAGCATTGTTGCCTGCTAATATTATGCCAAAATATTCTTGTAATAAGTGTTTTCACACCATCCGACAGAATTCACATTGTTCTGTTTTCAAAAATAAAATGTGCACATCAACATTCCTCAGTAATCTACAGAGCTAATACAGGATTAACCAAGCATGCCGAGAGGACTTAAATCTTACTCAGATTATTCTGGGCATACACACTGTTGGTAATATCACGTCACCAGTTTCCAGAACTGAGTCAGTTTCTTGATTCATTTCCAGTGATGTATGTAGTATATAAAGTGATTTCTGCTGCTCTGAACCACACAGATCAAATTAAACAGACAGACAGTCAGCAAAATATTAACTAGTAAAAATGTTATTTTGTTTCCTGGTGTGGAATTATTTTTGTCAGCAACAGTTATTTTTGTTACTTCACTTGACTGTGATACAGAAAGACTAAACCAGGGGCTGAATATCAGCACCTCAGACCTCATCAACCTGGAGGACTCATCTGATGTTTAGTTACTGTCACAAAATGCATCCAGAGGATATGCTTTAATACAAAGTATAAATCACCTCAGGTTAGTTTTCATCAAAATACTAGTATTACTTAAGACTAGAACTATGTTAAACATTTGGAGTGAGGTCTAAGTCAAGAGTTGCAGGACGTGGCCAAAGCTTTGGTACTGCACTCAAAGTTTAGAGCAGCCCACCCATGCCAATATGTGCTAATTCTGATATCATCTCGCACAGAACTCCAAACAGACTGACAATCCTAGCCGCAACTATCACAGTGATGCTGGACCCAAATGAAGAATTGCTTTTTTCCAGTTCAATTTAGTGCAATCGGCCCAATTTTTGCAATCTGAAAGAGAAACTCCTACCAATACATATACAGACCAGCCACAACTGGGTACATAGCTAACACAGTGTGACTTCTGACTGTGATTATTTGACGTATTTCCCTTATACAGGACGGTGTCTTCAGGCACAATAGGTTCCATGAGAAGAAGGGATCTGCTTGGCTGGTGTATGGGCAGCACCTCAGTGACACGGATTCAACCCTCGACTTATTACAAATACAAGATAGCATCTATCCAGCACAGCACTAAAGACTGCTGTGTTTGTTGGCTCAGTCTATGTGAGATTTGGTAAATGAGGGTGGACACCTAATCACCAAAAGTCAAAAGATGCTGGGTATGCTTAAGACAGAGATGGTGTTGCTGTATGTGTCAAGCGTCATGTAGGAGACAGAGGGAAATTCTTGCTGTAAGTCAGGCCTGGATGACTCAATCAGTAAGGGCAGAATACACTGACAGAGGTGTGGGCTGACTCAGTAAAGATCTCTGGCAAATCTTAATAGTGATCATTATATGTTTATATGTATATTTCAATCCATAAGGGTAAATTGAGTTTTAATACAGTTGTAATGAATAACATGTGACATACAGCACCATCCACACATTACTACGCCGCATTGTTGCACTGGGTGAGGAAGGACTAAGGCATGCAGACAGCTCTCACTTCCACACTTAAGGCCAGCTTGAAATGACCAGTTAAGCTGACATACAGGTGTTTGGACTGTGGGTGGAAGCCAGACCACCAGGTTGGAGGTTTGAACTTAAACTTTCTTGCTGTGAGGCATCAGTGACAAATATAGTGCCTTACACTTGTAATATTAATCATGATGATAATAGAGCATCTCCGTATCATCCTGCACTATAATACTATCTTTATACTTGCAGTTGGGAGTGGGGGTGGAACAGCAATATCCATCTCCTGTGTTCACTCAGCCACTTTCCACTGTTCTCTAAGTCCATCAGGTGAGGGATTGCTGAGGATGTTCAGAAATCACTGCTAATATTAATCACTGGACAGTGGGTGAAACATTTGTTTCCTGCTGCATGTTTTATACAGGAGGTTCTCGCACCTCAACCACATTAAGTATTTCCAGCAGTCCCTCTGCCTCCAACTCATCCCTCGCTGTCACACCATCTGTCTGCATGTCCTCCTTCACTACATCCATGAACCTCCTCTGAGGCCTTCCTCTTTTCCTCCTCCCTGGCAGCACCCTCTTCATCATCATTTGACCAGTGTGCCCACTCTCCCTCCTCTGCACATGCCCAAACCACCTCAGCCTTGTCTTCAAATTACTCCAACGGAGCCGTCCGTCTGACGCACTCGTTTCTAATCCTCTCCTTTCTGCCCACTCCCAGTGAAAATCTTAGCATCAAAATAAAACAAACTTTATAATCTCTAAAGACATTTATGAGCTTTAAGTGTTCGCTAACCTTTCTGACAATCCACCATATGCACCAAATTCTGGTAAACGATGACGCATTAATATGTTTTTAAATCCTATTTCAAACTTTTTTACATGGTAGATTATGTTTAAACTGAAATATAACTGTTATAAAAATAAACACAGTCTTACTAATGATATTTATGAAGTAATAAAAGGCGTAATCCATCAATTGTTTAATACTTAACCAGCCATTTATGCATTTTTCATTTAGTATCAAAATAGTATCAAAACCTAAATAATCTGCGTAACTGATTCAAAAACTATGATGTTTTATTTCATTAGGAAGAGACTGTATTCTTGGACTTTAATAAATGCTGTGGTCTCAGAGCGACTCCAAACATTTCATTATTCCTTATCCATTTAATCACTGATTGGTTGCACTAAATATACCACTTGTGATTTTGTGGTTCCTTATATACTTAACTGTGTGATATATCTGAAAGCACAGAAAGGCTGCTTTCCAGTATACAGTCCAAGAGGGCTATATGCTTAAACACATCTTCATCTTGTTGTGGTTGCTGGTTAGCTCATGCTAATGCAGTTTTTCTCCAGCCCTTATTTTTCACTAAAAGTGAATATGTTAAAGCACACACGCACACACTAACAGGACAGGGCAGGCTCGTGGAGTCAGTGGAAAAGGTCTGAGAGACTTACATCTAAATCACACGACACTGGAATCTTATTTCATATTGATTACACACAAATTACTGGCAGGTAATTACTCGTTACAAACACAGCAATCTGCTCTACAGTATTTAACTATGTGCAACATTCCTTACTGTGTACTTGCTACACACACACACACACACACACACACACACACACACACACACACACACACACACACACACAGACTAAGTGTTGAGCCAACATTCAGAAACAATAGCAAGGAAGGAGCAGTCTTTTTCTTTCTATCAAACAAATCCCCCCCTCCCTATCAAACCATAATTCTGTCTCTCCAGTCATCAAGTCCCCATTGTTTGAGCTAAATCTTTGTCATGTTCTGTATCAGCACATGGCATCCTGTTCTGCCTTGATTTCTGCTCACTTAACTCAACCAAGGGATCGCCTTTGACTGTCTGTTGGCCATAAGACCTACATTTCTCCCTCTGAGTAAGAAAAACAACAGACCACATCTCTCTGACCTTTTTTTCTTCTTTTTTCTCTTTCTTTTCAGTCGCAAAGCCCCCCAAAATCTCCTTCTAGGTCCACTGGGGCTTCTGTTTCAACATAAGCCTGTGCTTCTGGCTGTAAGTGGAAAGGATAGTGGAAAAACCAAACAGCTAAATGTGGTGAATATGGCGGCTCTGTGTGCTCTCTGATTCTGTCCAAAAACGCACTCAAAGAAAAAAGATTAAAAGAACCAGTAGCTTTGTATCTTTAACAACTATAAGCATTAGTGACTTATGTTTTGCTATACTTTGAAATACATATTCAGCAATCCAACTTAGAAGTGTGAAATTTCACTTACTTTGGATATTTTTTTTCTTAAAGCACATAACTTACAAGGTTTATTTATGCAATGGCATGCCTGAAATGTTGCTGTGTACACACAGACGTGCACACACACAGACACACACACACACACCCTGCTGAGAGCCAACAAAAGGTAGGTCCACTGAAGAAATGTTAAATCCAGTCTCGCTCTCTCTCCTTCACAGTGCTTTCACAGCTGGGGTATAGCATGCTCTGCTAAAACACACTTAACCACTGAAACTAAAGGAGTAAGACAAACGCTAGAAAAAAAGGATCACCTTAAAGAGGCAGCATGCTGTATGGGCTGTGATTCTGAATGAAAACAAACTCTCATACACACTCACCAGATAGTTCATTTTGTCCCAAGCAAGGCAGCTGTGCTAACTCCAAGGCAGGGCTTTAGCTCAGCCCTGTGAGACTCTGTGCAACAAGATCCAAAAGATCTCCAAACTCCTCCAAGTCCCCTCCTTCACCCTCCTTCCTTCCTATGTCCTTCTCCCAACCCTCCCTGTTATTTTCCTTCTCCGTATCTCTTCTTTTGTCTTGTCCAGTCTTGTTTTCAACAGTCAAGCAGATCTCCACATAATGCCCCTGTGTGATCTCACACAGCAAGAATGAGACCGCTGCCTGCCTCATTTACTTGTACCCTCCTCGTCCCCTTTCTGCCTTGATCTCTGTCTTTGCTGTGGAAAAGAGGGCGGAGTGTGTAACCCGACACGTCACTTCCTGCTGAATCATGATATTTCCTCTGTCCACTCAGTCTATTGGCCTGAGGAGCTCTTATCATGCAAATAAGCCCTCCCAGTGTCCTTACTCCCAGGCTGAGAAAGCGTGTCAGTGCTCTGGTATGCTCATGCACAGGCGCTAGGGAACATGCCATAGCTTTACTGTCTTTACTGTCAGATTGGCATTTCTTTGGCACCCAGCCTTAAAGAGCTAATGACTAACATGAATGTATTTCAGTGGATGTGACAATCAATTAACCCTTTATAATCCAAAAATCTGAAAAGATGTTCCAATTGTCTGCAGGCACTTCCCTGCCTCTAAAGAATGTTTTTCCATTATTGAAAAAAATATAAATTCGGAATAAAGGACACAGAGACAAACTACTTTCCTTTTTGATCCACGTCTGACCTGGCAAAGATCTGATGCCACATCCCCTTCTGTCACAACCCTCCCCATTTATTCAGGCTTGGGAAAGGCACTAGGAGTATACAGATTTGGGGACAGGATAGAAAATAGTAAAACAGAGGGACAGCTCAGGTTCAGCTTTTTGTAGACAAAGTTAGAAACAAGGCTGAGGTGGTATGGAGATGTGCAGAAGGGGGAGGGTGGCTATACCAGACAGTGGATGATGAAGCTGCCAGGCAGGAGGAAAAGAGAAGGTTAGTGGATGTAATGAAAATGAGACAGAAGATGAGGTTAAGGATAGAGTGAGATGGAGATGGGGAAAGAAAAAAAGAGCAAAATAATGGGAATATTTTAATTTATTTATTTTTACCATCGATCAAGAACTGTTTTTGAAAAAAGAATTTCATTCTATATCTTTATAGGTGAAAAAGTACAGGACAGGCATATGGAAACTATCATAACTTTTACTAATAATGTTTGTTTAGCACTACAAAATGTCAATTCAAAACTAGATCAGGAGTTCCACATGGCTGTGGATTTAATATTTTTAGTTGGAGTGGCTTCCAAGAGATCTGGACCAGGAGTCAGTCTACCATTCCTTCCTTGAACGGCCTCTTGGACACCCTGGACTGAAAGTAATAAACCTGTAATAATAAAGTAATAAAGTTTGTAAGACTGTCGGTTTCCATAGACAATAAATCATCTGGGGACACACCCATAGAGAAGCTTTCTGTGAAGGCATACATTCTCCATGTATCCTTGAGCAATTCCTACACCGGAAAAAAACCGATCCTCTTCTAAGATGCAAGGTAAGAAGTCAGCACAAGTACAACTATCTCTATAATGAAAGCACTCTTTCAGAGATTTTCAAATACGTCAATGAAAAGATTCGTCAAGGCTTAGGGCAAAGGTCACAAGATCACACCAATTTTCAACCATGTTCACATGTTCACATTAAAAAACAATTCTTTGTTTTTACATTCATCAGGTGCCAATCAGCCCAAAAAGCAAAGAGAATTAAAAAACACATGCCATGATAGAGTTCAGGTCTCAGGAGGTTAAACCCAAAACCTACATTCAGCCAAACAGATTGGGAGTTCTTTCTAATTTACTGCAAGCGTAAATTAAATTAAGAGAAAGAACTCATTATTCAACCATTTTCTTCACTGCTTATACATTTGAGGGTAGCATATCCCAGCTGCCATGGGACAAGAAACAGGAAACACCCTGGATGGGTCTGCAGTCTATAACATGGAAAATACAAAGAGATGGACAACCATTTATGCTCACACTGACACCTACGTTCAACATCACAACATGCAAACTCCACACAGAGAGGCCCGCGTTAGCCAGCAGGTTTGAAACAGGAACATTCTTTCTTTGACTGCATAGCCACACTGCAGATCACTGTTCTGATTCAAAATCACACACAAAATCTACCCTCGGCTGCTGGGCGAGCAGCAGAGAGTGGGATAACGTGTAGGTGGGAAAGCTGTAGTTGCATATGAAACATAGCAGGTATACTGCCCCTGGAGCAGCTAACATCATCTATGAGCCAGCAGAAGTGTCAACTTTGTCCTGCTCAAGACAATGTGAACACACACACACACACACACACACACACATACACACACACACACACACACACACACACACACACACACACACACACGGCTTTGTTTCCATCTATGTGATGTATAAACAAAATTATGTCCATATCACAATCATTCATTTCAAAAATCCCCACTGACCCCTCCACTTTGCTCTGCCCACACAAACAGAGTAATGTAATCAGCGTCAGCGCACTCACAGCAGAAGTTTAAGTGAAATTGTTTTTAAAAAAAAGCTCTTTGTCTAAAAGACTTTTGTCGTTATGTCTTTCATGCTTTTATCCTGGAGGTCAACAGTCTTTTTCGTCAACTGTAGTCTCTTTCAGTATCAGACTGTGTGGTGTCAATACACTCTATTCACTACTCGGTTACAGCCATCTACAGCCATCTGGGCCATTATCATAAAACTGTGTCCTAAATGGCAAACTGTCTGTGCAACAGTAAAAAAACCCTCCAAACACTGGAAATGTACTACATAGAGCAGCGAGTAGTACTATGTAGTAGTATGCTCTGTTTACCCAATGTTTCAAGCAGTTATTGGTCTAATACGGCAGATACATCACTAGATATTTGTGATTTAAGAACCTGGTCCTTCACATTTAAAGGTAGTAATCAGAGCTGAGCATCACATACTTCGTGATACTGGCTTATAGAGTAGCTGTAGTATGAGAAGTAGGCATACCAAAACTCTTAACTGAAAAAAGAACAAAACCGTTTCAGCACATTCATGTCTAGTAGCGAGTTCAATGAACTGCTGTCTAAAACCTTCAAAAATATATTTCCTATTCTATAAGCCTCATAGCACAGACTTTTTCCTGATAGAGGGAACTCGTTGTTCTACTGTCTGACAATCAGGTCTTTGACAGCGAGGCACAATAACAACCATTGTAGGCAGCGTTACACACTGCCTATAGGATGAGAGGCAGATAGCAATACATCGGCCATTACAGTTCAGTTTGTATACTTATACACAGAAGTCAGTCTTTTTAATGATTATATATGCATCTTCTCACCAATCACCTGTTGGACAAAAAACTTGCACTTGTATGTGCAAAAACCCCCCCCAAAAGAACAAAAATTTAAATGCACACACAAAACCCTACACACAGTTAGGACAGTACATTGAGCTACAAACAAGCCAAGAACTCCAGCACGTACACACACGGTCCATATTTATGGGAAACTCCATGCAGGTCCGGCTCAAATATTGTCCTCTGACATAATGAGTATGAAAAAATTTGCTTCGTTTCTACTACTAACAGTCCACTGACTGTCTCCAGTATCACTGATTACATGCAAAGTATGTTTTTTTACCTGCCCAGCAATACTTTACTTTCAGCAACTTTTAACATGTCTCCAATCATAGTAGTTTGGGCAGTTGTCTCATAATAAGAAGGTCCTGGATTCCAGTCCACCAGCCAGCTACAGCCTGTCTGTGCAGGGTGCGTGTTCCTTCCTGTATATTTGCTGAATGGTTGTCAGTCTGTGTCACCCCTATTACAGACTGGTGACCTGTGCAGGGTGTTTTCCACCTCCTCTCATGTGACAGCTGCGATGGGCCTCAGACCCACCGTGTTCCTGAACTGTAGAGGTGGAAGAAAAAAAATGTCCTCTTCATTGTAACATCATTTAAAAAACTACACTGTCTGTTTTGTAAAAAGTGCACCCAAATAGACTTGATGACACCCATTTAGTTTTACCAGTTATATTTTTCAAGGATATCACGTCTTTAAAGTAGCCAGCTGTACTGACTGTGGTTCCTCCTGATCTTACCTTCAGCAATTACTAAAAATGAATGGGAAAGAAATTCTAAATAATGTGATAGTTCTGTGGCATGCCTCCGTCTCCCTGCTGGACATGCTTGAAGATAATAAGAAAAGATATCACTTTGATTTCCAGCATTGCACAGTCCTTATAATCACTGTGTGCAACGACAGCTGACTGGAGGGGGTGCTAGTGGGACTTACAGTGTGAATGTATCTGCTACCCTGTTGTTACTGACTACTTGCTAGTCATTATCATAGAAGCCTGTGCATTAATATTGAAGATTGAATATTTGCATGTCAAAAATGCTTCTGAAAACATTTCAAAGCACTGAAATTATCCCATGCTGTTTAATATTTTGGTGGTGAATAATAGATGTCTCAAAACGCCATTTAAATACCTAAACCACAGTTTATCGAATCACTCAGTCAGCGGGAGCCTTCTTTGTCATTCATACAATAAACAAAACTTTTTTCCGAGTTCTTCCACGTCTAACCTGTTTCTGCTGACAAACACAACGATGATTCATTCTTGTACTGTAACATAAAACTTGCATCAGCCAAGGCAGGAAGAGACAACTCCAGGCACCCTCCTTCCACAAGTTCTACATACTAATTTTTTCTTCTTTTCCTAAACGTTTGTTTCCTCTGGAAAGGTTTTTGAGGTCTTTTGAAACATCTCTTTTAGTCATCTTGGCTCGAGTTGTGCTAAAAGGTGTGCGTGTATGAATTTGTTCAGAAGAGGAAAACCTGCCAGGTTTACACTGCAAGAAATTAAAAGGAGCTTAATACTGAACATGAATGTAAAGAGTAATCCGTTTATCTCAGAT